CCTACTTATATAAATATTATGATAATATACATGATTTTCAAACGAACATTTATACGAAATCACGTGACCCAGATAATATAATATGAATATATGAAATTATTACAAATATAAAATATATTATATTTTTTTTTCTGATGAAATAATATTATTAATTATAATATGCACGTTATACAGATTAAAAAAATATTAAGTTGTGATGTATAATAATAATATAATAAATATTAAATGTGTATTATTAAAATTCGTTTATTAACTGCAGTTAGATTAATATTGTATTATAATAAGTACTTTCGTATAATAATTATATTAGTTATTTAAAACGAATAATTTTATGTACAAAACTATTTATTTTACTTTTGTAATGTTGTGTATTGATCGCGTAGCAATGTTATAATAATGATATTTATAAAATCAAGTATTTGGGTAAGTAGGGTAAGTTCTTATACAACTGTAATTTGCATATAAGGATGAGGTGTTATGTAAGTTCCTGCACGGGTGCAAAACGACATAATAATATGTTAGTGCCTATATACAAGTTTAATGGGCCAAAAGTAGATATTAAGTTAATTCCTACGTGAGTCCAAATGCTAAATAATAATATTATGTAAATATAGGTTAATAGGTAGGTAAAATATAGGTTGAAATATTATGTCTATGTGCTTTTTTTAAATTTAAATTAATTTACGTTTGAAATTTGAATAGGTACTTGGTTTTTTTTTTCTTCAGTTTTTGGCTTATTAAACTTACTTAATATTTATGTCTACAATAAATTATGTTATGTTTTTATCATTGCTTGATATGCTAATTGCAATTTGAACATTTGAAGTGCCATTTAAGGAAAGAAAATATTAAAGAGTCATCAAATTATTCTATGTGGTGAAATTGAAACAATAATTACGAATTTAATAACTTTAAAATCCATTTCATGAGTTTTTAAAGCATTAATTGTACAAACATCTCACTTAAATGAATTACTACATGAAAATAATTATGAATTGGTCAATATTATTCACTGAATATTATGCCTTTTACTTGTAATTGTAAAGCTGGAGATTCAACATACTGCAAGTATATGTTAGCTGTACATACTTATGTAACTGACCAGGTAAATCAGTACTTAAATATGAGTCAGTCGTAAAATACTATCATAATGATTTTTGAGTTATAGACCTAAATTAAAAATACATTTTGTGTGTTGTTTGTAAAAAACATTGACATTTTATTTGCAATTAATTTTATACTTAGTTACCTACAAATATTGATAATTGTTTCCAAATAACATCGTAACAAGCGATTTTATTACATTGTTTTTTTAACATATTCTCTTAAGTTACAAACAAGTTAAGGAAGCCCTCTGTGAAAACTTGCTAATTCCTGGTTTCTGAACACATTATGAACAATAAACTGTAATTCCATATTATTTAAAAAATAAAAATTGGTAATATTTCTAAATAATAATAATGTATCAACAAAGTAGCAACTACAAAATAATGGGCGAATAGACACGATGGGTATATAGGTACTTAAATTTGTTTAAAAATGTAAAATAAATAATATATCGCTATTTACATATTATAAGTACAAAAGTCTAAAATCTTTATTATAATATATACTCGTACATTAAGGTATTTCTTATTTGATTAATAGTGGAAATTTTGTTTTGACACCACATTACTTCATTCTAAAAAATTAAATTAAATATCGAACTTTATTTAAACATCCAAGGACAATTTTCAAGTCCCCCTGTAACGAGGTAAAGTTTCCCAATTAAAATATGTAACAAATAAATAAAAAATATCTTATTATGTTCATTTTTTACTAATAATTATTAATTTTATAAAATTCCGTCAATTTATCCAGAAAATCGAAAAAATTTTAGCTCAGTGACGTCATTTGGGGAGGGCCAGGGGAGGCATTTACCCCCTTTGCCATCATCTGGTCCCTATCGAGCCACATATGAGCTGGTATCGGGCAAGTTTTGGGCCACAAGCCCGCAAACATGATTCATATCATAATATTTTACGATTTTATGATACATTGTCTTTTTATAGATTACAATTATACTCCATACATAACAGGACATAAATTGGGGCCGAATTCCCCTCAAACTAAATTTTTATATAGCAGCTAATAGGTAATATATTTAAGTCTAAAAGTTAAGTGTAATGTAGAAGAATTATTTTTTATAAGAATTTTTATATCAAATTTTGACAAAAATCGTAAATATTACGACCTTTCAATATATGTGTAACTCCAATTAGAATCGTTTTTCGTTAATTCCCCTCTAGATCCTACCTTCTCAACTTCTCACCTATAACAGTGACCCACTTATAATGCAAAGTATGTCCGTATTTTTTAGTTTTATATCGGTGGACACAACATGATACACGACCCTTCCCGAATTTTAAAAGACCGTCTTGTTTTTATTTAAATTGTCCCACTTCCCATTTTAATTAGTGTCGAGATTCATGCCGTGTTTCTTTAAAATAAAACACAAGTATCACGATTTTTAAAATTATTAGGTTTACTGCTTACGATTTTTACAGATTACTGTAAAAATCATATGTATATTATAACAAAATACAAGTTACAACCATTAATTTATGTCAAAATCAATTTATTTTACATGGTGATTATAAGTGTTCTTCTTATCAACGTTTACATTATTATACATTGTTATTTTTTATTTATAAACTCCCTAACTAGTTTAAATCAATTTCTAGTGAATCAATAGTTTTAACCGCTTAATCAATGCAATAATAAACAATTAATTCATAAAGTAAATGAATATATAAATAAAAATTTATATACAAAAATAAAATAAAAAAAATGAATCAATACGTTGCCTAGAGTGTTATGATAAGTGTATTAGACGACCGGTTTCGAATTAAAAATTCATCATCAGGTATATCACAGTCAAAATGTAAAACGCGACTGAATATAAAAAAAATTAAACAAAGGAATATATAGAGAAGAAAAAAATCATACAAATTGGTCGTTTTACATAGAATATAGAAATAATTTATTTTAATAGGAGAGATTATTTAAAATTAATTATTATTATACATAGATATGTTTAGAAACATAAATTATTTGGTTGTTATTTATTATTTAAAATGTATTGATATAGGATACTATTTTTAAAATGGGTTTGAACATTTAAAAAATTATTTTTCTTTATTTCATTGTGTATGAGTAATTGTTTTAAAACTGAATTAATGTAAATGTTATTTTAGATATTTAGTATTTCTATATCTGTATTTATATCATAACTTATATTATGGTTATATAATTTGAATTAGAGGCAGTCTTTTTTAATTCTATTTCCGAAATGTGTTCTTTATATCTTGTTTTATAAATTTTATTTGTCTTACCCATATAAAATTTATTACAGTTATATTTGATTTTAAATGTATCAGCATTTTCAGTTATTCAACATATTATTAATACTAAGTATACTATATCAATTAATAATAATCTATTTATTTCTCTTAAAATCTGGTCAATAAAATCAGTAGTTAATTTTCGATACATTTCAGCACATTACGATAAGTATTATTCGATAGATATTACAAGTTATACCAATGTATAAAAATATCATTAGATTAGAACGAAAATTATTTGCAAATATTATAGGTGTTCATTTAATAACGTAATAATATATTTATAATTCAAATATTTAACGTGCCAATATGTAAATTAACCAAAGAATTTTATCTTACTTTTATTATTTTTGAACTAAAAAAAATTAATTATTCAAAAACAAATAAGTCAATTAGTGTATACCATATTATATAAATACCTATATACAAATGGAAAGGCCTATTTTTTATCATCATATTCGATTAATCTTATTATTTGCAATCAACTATTTGACTCTCGGAATTTTTTTTTTTATTTTTATATCAAAAATCGCTTCAGATATACAACATAAACAAAAAAATATTTATTTTTAAGGAGTTAACTACTTTACATATGAGTATTATAAATAGATTTTATTTGTATTTATTTTTTAATAAGCACATTTTAGCTTAAACTACTTTACTTCAAATTACTAATTACTTTAAATTACTTGATTACTTAAACTTAAATTTGATGTTTAAACGAATAGTGCACAGTCGTGGAGAGGCGTATATTACAGTGCAGGCATATTTCCACTGGAATTTTACTGCATCACTTACAAAACTTTAAACACTTCGAACTTACTTCGAAAAAATTAGTTCGATGATAGATGCAATTTATAAATCGAAATATACTATACGGATGGAGACAGTTATTAAACAGGAATACAAATTGAAAAAAAAATAAACAGTAAAACGATAACAAAAAATTCCAAAAAACGAAATTAAAAAACAAAAACAGAAATAAATTATACAGTGGTGCATAATACAAATTTAAAAAATAATAATAATTTTGGTGTCGAAATAGTGGTAATCTTAATAAATAATTATTGAGAATCAAGGTTATGGTTGATCTATTGGTTTTGAACAGCTAATTAGGATTTTCTTCTTTTGTATGGAAATGTTTGTCAATTACTTTTGCGTAACTACTTAGTTCACTATTATCTAATATTATTTATTTTCAATCTATGTTTAAATTTAACGCAAACTTGTTTTATTCCAAAAATTAAACAAACAAAAACGATACATAAAAATAACGTTTATCAAAAAAGTTAAACAAAAAAAGGTATATTTTACATCGATAAACAGGAACGAAAATAAAAGTTATTAAAAACGTTCCCCCCCGGATTAACAACACTAAAAAATGGGTACTGAAAAAACAAAATTGGCGTGATATATTAAATACGAGGTCTGTTCAAAAAGTACCAGGACAAATATTATTGCGGCTAATCTATACATGATAACGTTTTAAATTATAATTAGATGTATTCCCAACGTATTAGAGAATATTTTGAACAAAACCCGAAGTCGCTATCTTATCTCAGTTTAATATTATACGTGGTTAAATCTATTCAGTTTGTTTTGTTCTCCGTTTTCGTCATGTCTGAAATAAACGAACAACGTGTANTTAAAACTGCTTTAGGAAACGATTCTTTAAGTCGCTCCGTTACTTTCGAGTGGTTTAAACGTTTCAAGGATGGTCGACAGTCAATTAAAAATGATCCACGTTCTGGAAGACCGTCTACATCTAGAAACGATGATGTGGCGAACATTTACGAAAAAGTGCGAAATGACCTGTTTTGTGAAATGATCGAATTAACTGTTCGCGAGTTAGCAAATGAAACAGGAATTTCAATTGGATCTTGTCATGAAATTTTAACGGAAAATTTACAGATGAGAAGGGTAGCTGCTAAATTCGTTCTGCAGTTGTTGATATCGAAACAAAAGGAAAATCGTTTGACGATTTGTCAAGACCTTAAAAATCGATTTGCTGATATAAATTTCATAAAAAACATCATCACAGGGGACGAGACATGGGTTTCTCAGTTATCTCAGTGGAAAACAAAATTTTCCCCTCGACCAAAAAAAGCTTGCCAAGTGAGATCGAATGTCAAAACAATACTGATTGTTTTTTTTGATATTGAAGGTATTGTTCATTATGAATTTGTGCCCCATGGACAAACAGTCAATCAGGTATTCTATAAAGATGTATTAATACGTTTGCAAGAGAGAATTCGTAAAAAGCGCCCAGAAAAATCGTGAAGTGGAACCTGGTTTCTTCATCACGACAATGCGCCAGCGCATTCAACGTTGTCAATTCGTAAATTTTTGGCTGAAAAAAAAATACCTGTGGTCTCACATCCTCCCTATTCACCTGATCTAACCCCGTGTTTTTTTTTTCTTTTCCCGAGAATAAAATCTGCGCTTAAAGGATAACGATTTCAAGATCTAGAGGAAATTAAAGCAAATACGGCAACAGAACTCAAAGCTATAACTTTAAAACAATTTCAAAGGACTTTCGAAAAATGGCAAGATCACTGGAATCATTGCATATTGTCTGGAGGAGAGTATTTTGAAGGCGATATCTTTAAATAATATGTAACTTCATTTTTGTAATTATTAAAAATAAAATCCTGGTACTTTTTGAACAGACCTCGTATACTCAGTAAAAAGTAAAATTTCTATTTAATTATGTTTGAATTATTAAGTGGATATTATACTCTTAAATACATATTTATAAGCATTCAAAATAAATAAAAATAATAATAATAATAATAAATGTTCTATAAAAAAGTAGAAAAATACATTTTTATTATAGATTCTGAATGAAGCGAAGAATGTATTGGTTTTCATAACATTATTTTTTAAATTATTTTTTTATGTGAACACTGAACACTTTTTTTACTAGAAAGCTTACTTTGTTTATCAAGTATAGCACATTTTCTGAAAGAAAATGTTCTCTGGGTGGTACTTCAGAGAGACCATTTTTTTTTTTTGAAATTATCATTAATATTCGAGTAATGAGGAAAACCCGATTCTTAAGGTTAAAAAAGATTAAAAGATTAAAGTTTGTCATAGGCAACCGTTTTTATTTATTTTTGTAATCATTAGGTTTTTATTACTTCAAAATCTTTTTTAAACAATCATTGATGTTATGAAAACGCACATTGTTGCAATCAATTTATTGTAATATGACATAATGGCAAAGATATTGTTAACAAAGCAACACTATCAACTGAACTCTGCTCAGAATAGTTTTCTCTTTAGCAATGGTTTATCGTTGATTACAGATATACATTAAATTTCCATCTGCATCCTACCATTTCAGGCTCCCACCTACAACATTGGCTGCAACCACGTGCGAAGTTTATTCCGATATCCGTCCTTTTTATTATTATTATTTATTTTTTTATATATATATTATTTATACATAGAGAAAAATTATAAAAATTGGTCGTTTTACATTACAATTTGTATTAATAAGAGATCTCTTATTAATTAAGAGATTATTTAAAATGAGTTATTATTAGACACAGATTTGTTAAGAAATATAAATTATAACACAATTAAATATAACACAAGAACCATTCAAGCATTCCAAGCCATCTGCCTCCGCA